AGAATTCTGAAAGGGTGCTACAACAAATATATCCTCTCCTCTGTTCACCTGTACGGTCAGTATCTTCCCACCTGTAGGGAAGGGAGGTTTCTGTATTTATTAGTCCTGATAATGCTTAACTTTCCTGGGTAAATAGTAGAATCATGAGGTTTTAATGCAGAGGGATTTTTATAAACCTCAGCTGGAAGTGAGGGAGTGTGTTTGACTTGAAGCCGCTGGTGGAGTTTTGCCCTTCAGCTGTGCCGTCTGCAGCCTTCAGCTTCTTCCAGCAGACAATAACAAATCCTCCCTCCTCCAGACCGTCCGTCACTTACCTAAAAATGTAAACAATACGGCCGTTTCACAACTAAAAGACGAGCTTCGTATCACCTCTGGCTGCGGAGCACGAAATCTGAATCCCTTCACGATGTTGCTCAATCTTGGCGTGAAAATTGTAAAAGAAAGAATGTGATGTGTCTGAGTAAAAGCACCTGTCGAGTTTCCATCCTGCGACCAGCGGCTGCCAATAACTGTGCACAGCGTGTAAATTTTCATTCACGCTTGCCTCCGCAGAACTGAATGGACAGGTTCTACGTGAATAGCAGGAGAGAAGTGGCCAATCACAGACGAGAGCGGATGATAGACACGAAATTCTGTAAAAGAAAATCAGTTTTAATCTATTCTAATTCTTAGAATCCACTCTTCTCGAACATGCTTCACTCATGCAGATCGAATTTACATGTAGTTTAAAGGTTTGCATCATTTCCTGTTTCCTCTGCACGTATCATTGTCACCATCTTAACTTCATATACACCTGCGTACGTCCTTATAGCTGGAAAAAAAAACAGACGTACAAGAATGAAATGAATGAGCGTGACCTCTCTTGTTGCTGCTGCAGTGCATTCTGGTCAATTTCTGGTTCCAGTTGGTGTAAAAATCAGATTCTGTTTCACTTTCTCGGATTGGATTTTGCTCTGTTGGCGCAAAATGGCAGCTCTATAGAGACAGAAGCCTTAGCTCAATGTTAAACCATCACTGTTGGATTCGACTGTGGCAGTGTTAGAAATAACTTGACATGTCACATGGTCTGTCTAAACTCTAATACAAGTTAAAAAGACTCATGAGTTGGAGCCATGTAAAAGTACAAGATACTTTAAAATGTATCAGAGAGGCAGTCTGGTGTAATTTCAGACCCTGGCTGTGTGTGTGTGTGTGTGTGTGTGTGTGTGTGTGTGTGTGTGTGTGTGTGTGTGTGTGTGTGTGTGTGTGTGTGTGTGTGTGTGTGAGAGTTGCCAGTTGCCAGTTGGGGGGAAGGTGTGGCATCAAGCTGCCTTTACCTTTGTTTAGAGACACAGAGGGGGCTCTGTCCCCTCACAATGGGACTGAGATTCCAGTGTGTGTCCTCTCTCTCTCTCTCTCTATATATGTGTGTGTGTGCGTGTGTGTGTGTGGGAGGGGTGGTGCTTGCGGCCACACCCAGTCTGATTGGCCGAGGCCCCACCTCACTGTGGAATCCACTGCAGCCGGGTCACATGTCAGCCTGCCCGGAGAGCAACGCACAGTCTGTGTCGACAGTCGCAAGCAGATCAAAATACAGTAAACAAAGAATAATAAACACAAATACTCGTTAGGAAAGTCCACTGATGACGTCATTGTATAGACCGACCCAGCTTTTCCCATCATGGCTTCTCTCAGCGCTGGATTCAGGATAAAGAGAAAAAAGCAAATCAGCAAAAAAAGACTCAAGATTTTGTTCATTTCTAAAATTTTTAACCACACATTGGTTTATATTACGTATTTGAAAAGTAACAGCTCAAAACTCATAGCTGATGTATCGATTCTGCCGTGGAACAAAATGTGAAACTCCCAGTATATTAATCACAGACCTTGTTCATAAATCAACAGCTGTGCGCAAGTAAAACATTAGAAATCCAGTGAAAGCACCTGGGGTTCAAATACTGCTCCAGACATTTTATTACTGTGACCTAATACAACTACAACTATCATTATTATTATCGTTCCCTTTGAAAACCTTTAAAGGGGAACCCGCACCATATGAGTATTATTCTAAGTGCCAAAATACCCACACCCATGCACGTGAAACTGATGAGTTCATTACTTTATATCTTTTATTTTCAAATGATTGCATTGCTACTATGAATGTTACTTGTATATATACTGTTACTATTAAACACTCCAGTTCATTCATAGAGGCATAAATACAGCTAACACTCCTGTTTCTTAAAGTATATATACATATGGTAGCACTACATTTCCCATGAAACAGTGGGGTGTGCAGTAGGGTCGCTACTGCAGACAGGAAGTACACAACATGTTTTTTAGTGCATTTCACAGTGTGTTGCATTGTGAGAAAGATGGCAAAGGTGTGATTTCATGTCACTGTCACTTCCTGTTTCTGTTTTTTTTTTCAACGCTCGCTCACAGTGGATGACACGATTTATACTAATCCATCCCATCCCATCGCTCTGCCTAAATGTCCTGTAGTTCGCGCAGGTTCAGCCGCACAACCACCGTCACTGGGACAAGATGATTCAGCTTGTGTTTAATCACATTCAAGGCACTTAGACGCAGAGCTCACAAAGTCGAGTTCTGTTGAAAACCACAGCGTTAAAAAATTCCACTGAAGCGTCGGCTGTAACTGTGTTCACATCAGCAACAGCTGAGCTCAGAGAGGAAGAAAAGCATGAAGTGGGAGGGGAAGTTATCTATCTATATATCTATCTTTTTTTTTTTTTTTTTACAACTTCCACCTGTGTAAAACAGCAGGGATCAAGCTGTGGGTCACAACCCAGTGGTGGGCCGCAGCGTGGAGACGAGTGGGACAAAGATGAGTGTTACTATAGGAACAACACACTGACATAAAATGAATGAATGAATGAACATTTGCCTCTTTAAGTCACATTGATTAGTTAATTTATCAATTAATTGTTAAACAAGAAAATGAATCAGTAAATGAATATTCGGACAAAAAATCAAATGTGTCCTTTTTGTAAAATCTTTATTAAAACGACCTGAAAATGGTTTAATTCACAGTATATATATAAATATGTTGTTATACCATACTGAAGTCAATATTATGGTCAATATAAATGTGTTTTATGTGTTAATAGATTGGGAAAAGAATCAATGCTGATCAATTAAGAGCCCCAAAAACTTACCCTTGAATGCTCTATCTGACTTAATTCACTTCACCACTGCTGTATACTGAACTTAAATACTTTTTGGCGCCACGTTTTCACAGTTTCATGCTCTTTCGTCACTTATTCTTTATGATTTAAATCCTCATTTTGTCAGTTTTCTTTTGACAAATTTCTTGTGAACGTTTGTGAAGTTTTGGCTTCTGCTGTTTTAATGGAAAAAAAGTTCAATGTGTACTCAAACGTGTCGATACCCCACAACCCCGATGTATTGCATCATCAGTGTCGTCACATTACAGAAGATGAGTCGCGCTACACCTCACTAAATCTTTAGGTCAAATTACACTGGTTTTTATATTTGTTGGCGTTTTCAACACAGTTTTTGAGAAGTTCTTCCACAGTTGTGTTTGTGCGTGTGAATCTCAGAGAGGTAGAAATGTTCAATGTGAGAGAAAGGAAGTGGACATGGAGAAAAAAATGGAGACAGAGAAGAAGAGAAAGGGGTGTGAGCATTACTACAAGTGTGTGTTGAGTCTCTCTGCCTTGGCACTCCCCACACCTCTCTCTCTCTCTCTCTCTCTCTCTCTCTCTCTCTCTCTCT